TCCAAATGTTGTAATATCCAGAAAATTGCTTTCAAAGTTTCCAAGACTTATGAAATGATGATGTGCCAAGAATTAAAGTTTTATTTCAAATAATATACTGTAAAATGACTAATTTTCACTGTGTTTAAATTTCACTGATTTACCATTTCAGGCATATTCTGTAGGTTTTAAATTCACAGTTTTATCATTTAGATAATGTGTTCTATGCTAAATTTTACATATTCACTGGGTTTTAATTTAGCGCATTTTCCAGGCAGCGAAATAAGCAAAATTAAAACCCAGTGAATAATTAATCTCTTTACAGTAATTAAATTTATGACATCAATTGGGACAAGCACTTTATATTTTAATTTCAATTCCTGTGAGAGAAACATGTATACAATGTAAATGTATTTGTACCAATCTAAAACCTTTCTGTTTTGAAATTGATTACTGTCTTACAATCACATGTGTGTAGTTGAAGTGCTTATACCTGTTTTATGTGTAAGTAATATATACACAAGTAGTTCGCTTACAATGTACATGTATGCATGTCTTGACTCCTCAGTTTACATATAAATTAATATCATTTTTGTATTTCTAACTTGTTATTGCTGTAAGGTATGCATTAATTATTGACAGAGTTTTAATTTCGATGAAATCTGCTAAATTATTAAACCTATGTAAATTGTTATCATGAATAATTACTATAGAACTCATTGTTTTGCTGGGCATTTAGAATACAGGAAATTTGCTCAAAATTAAAGATTAATGCGTTTACAGCAACTCATATTGTTTGACTCCATTGTCATACAAATTGGTTGAAATTGTTGATGAGACTGACAGTTTCATCTCGCATGTACCAACACTGTTAATGTTAAAATATTATCTTGGCTAATGTATTTGGGAATACAGTATAGACAGATGACTAATACTGTAAAATCTGTACTAAAAGCTGCATCTCCTATGTTGCATTGTACCATTTTAATAGAAGCTGCAGCTTCTAATACAGATTTTACAATATACATACTGTTGATGTGTCAGCAGAAATATAGATAAAAATTCAAGGGTTAGAAATGCTCAGTATCCGATATTAAAGCTCAACAAATGAATCTGCAGTTCATGCAGATGTGAATAAAGGATTCTTCACAGATTAGATTGCAATTGCAACTTACAGCAAAGTGTGGAATGAAGTGAAATACACTTGTATACATGATGTACAAGTATAGTTGGAGCCTTTTCCTTGTCAATATTGAACCATGATTTATGGGCTGATAAAGTTCGAAATTTAGGGTTTATTTTAACCCATAATGCATAGAACTCAGGTCTGTGGAACAATTGACGATGTAATATTGCTTTGTGTCTTCATAATTGGCCAGTTACTGTCTGTTTATGTAATATTTTGTTTCTGAATTCTTTAGAATCCAATTCAGATGTATTGTATGCCCTTGTGAAGGTCATACGAGGTCAAAGGTAAACTGTGTATCCTATCCATTCTGCATACCATAGACTGTGTAAAGTGTAAAATATCTTCATCCTGATTCATCCATTTCATTTCAGATCATCTTTGTTGTAATTTCCTGAATGTCTAGAAACTGGATGAGTGGTTTTCTTGGTATTGGGGAGGGGTGGGGGTGGTGAAGGCGGCTGTTACCTTAAAGCATTAAACATGTTTGCTTCCTCATTCATTCATACAATGACATGCTATAACTCTTTATGGGCAAGTGAAATTTGGGGGGGGGGCTCTGTGTGTGTGTGTGTCGTAGTGTCTTGTAATTTTTTTTTCTTGAGTGCCAATATTTGGTTTACAACACCTTGCATGGGATTTTATTTTTTCTCTGTGTCCAGCATGCAATTGTTTTCAACAATTTTTCACCCTACCCCCAATGATGTCGAATGATCCAACCCCTAACTTGGGAGGAAATCCAATTTTTACATTGTCACTGTTCATGAAGCACCACACTATAACAGTGGTACCACCAAAAAAACAAACAAATTCATTCAAACTTGTTACTGACAAGACAGACATAATATATCTCTAAAAATTAGGAAAATTAATGGAATAACAACATGGCCAGTCAGACTGATCTTCCTGCTACACCCCGCCAATGCTCATTGCCTCTGCAGGACACCTCGTCAATCACAGTAAATGCCTTAATTATTATCGGCTTTATTTGTTGATCTGTAAATTATACAATGAAATGATTTATTAATCAATGCTCTTTAGTTCTTTCTCATTTTTATTCATGTTTGTAATATTCACTGCATCCCAAGGCTCCTTAACTATTCTAGTACGTCTGGGACTTCGCCATTTTTTATGCGTTAGTTCTTTATGTACATGTATGTTTACTTTCAATGTGGGGCATGAGGATATATATATATTTATGAGATTGAATTTATACCATTTGCCTTTTTAGCTCTACTGTCGACTTTGTCGAGCGGAGCTTATCATAAATGTACAGTGATTGTCTGTCATCGATCGTCGTCTGTGTCAACTTTTTAGCTCCGCTGTTGACTTTGTCGAGCGGAGCTTATCATATGAGTGATAGCGCAGCTATCTCAGCCATCAGGCTGCTTGTTAATTATTCAACTTCTTCTTTAATTATTCAACTTTTGATTATTCAATACTTGGTGTATAGACCTCTCTCATATTTGTTCATTTTGTTATATCTTCAATACTCGTATTGATGAATATTTTTGTGATTTTTGGTAAAAAGTGATATTTTCGACTTGTTAAAAACCTTGTATCTGATTTCTTTTATATTATACGTATAGGTACTTCAGGTAATCCTTTTTCAGATATTTTCATTTTCTAATATCTTCAGTTCTTTAATTGAAATGTGCATTGCTAACAGAGGAGCTATCTCAGCCGAGCGGCTGCTTGTTTTGTAGTATGGATTCATCAACATGTATGCTATTATAAATGTGGTTATGGTTGGTACTGATTAATAATTGAAAGCATGTTGTTGAGATATCTGTGAACTGTCTTTATGCCCGGTGCCTAGACTAGACATTAGTTGCTATCTTTACATACATTATAGAGGTTGCCTTGAGGAATCTGACTTATTATTGTACCCAGAAAATACTTCCAAGCTTGATTCTTTGATCCACTTGGACATGCTTGCACATGTACAACCTGCCGATAAATTGATGGAATTGAATGAGTTAACCAAATAGCGACAGAAAGCTTTTTTAGCCCTTCACATTTGGTGATGAGAGTTGCATTATCTCATTGTTCAGTTAGGGCTCAGCTCCAAGTCCAACAGTACATGTATTTCCTCAGGCTAAACTAACCAGGACAATACCATGCATGCTTGACCTTTCGACAACAGGTTAAAATTAACCTCATTAACAAAATTAGTTTGACATAAAAAAAAAACTAAAAAAATATTAAATTATTTGCTTCAATATTGAATTTTCCCTCTGCAGTAATAAAATACTGGCAATTCAACATCATTCTGCTTCATAAATAATCACCATCAGAAGTGCAAATAAACCAAATAATTGCTTTGATTGTACACTGGATGATTGACTTGACTTGTGTTGACCATAGACTTAGTGCCAGTGTTTCCATTAATGCATGATCTTGTGTATTTTACACATTTTTAATCCTGATTACGCAAAATAATTAACAGCTATGTCTGTATGTGTTGGTTTTAGCTATATTCCAAATTCTTTACATCATTGAGGATATTCTGACAGACGTTTCTAAGTAAAAGACTACTGTCAACTACTGTCATGTCTGCCTGTCTGCACTTTAAATTTCAGTACTGTCATAGACTTGCACCTCGTACATCATCCTTGTCACTAGAAGTTAGCTTCACTTTTGATATTTTTAATTGTACAATGTATTATTGAATTTTACAAGTTTGTAACAAAATTATTAATGGTATTGTAAATTACATTTCACATTTAGTATGCAGCAAATTATTTGTTGGTAGATATTTTTTATATTATGTCAGATGAATCTATTCAGTCCCTGTGTAGACGCTGAGCTTTCCAAGTATAATTTCTTAGACTATGATTAAATTACTATCAAATATGATGGCCATGCAAGATGAGTTCCATATCTTTCTTGAACCCATAAACTAATATGACTGACTGGTATCATTATATTTTTTATATACATTTATATATATTTTTATATATGCAGTTGTCTAAGCTTGCCTATTGATTAAAACTATAAATGTCATAACTTGTAAATTAATAAAATGTATATTTTATGCTGTTTATACATTTGAAAAAAAAAAACTTTTTAACCCTGCCAAAATACAAATTTATTTTGATGCATTACTTTGTACTATTTCATACTAATTACCATATTACCGCCAAAAAGCAATTACAGGTCTGAGATAAGTATTTGATTAATAAATAGGTATAATGATTAATCACATGTCATATAGATGCTTTACTATAAATCCAGCTACTGTATTTGCTTTATTCGCAGCGCGATACAAGCTCATATAAACAACCAAATCACATTTATTGTATACTACTAAATTGTTAAAATACTTATTTTGACCATAGATACATATATGTCTCTGATTTACCTAATTGCAAGGCGCTACTATTAGAGCAATTACAGTATATAAAAAATGGTTTGGGTAATTGATACACATGTTATTGAAATGTATTTATTTTCCACATATTTTACAGAGTGTATTGCATCCTCAAGATATTATGCATTTTGGCTTCAGCATTCAGTGAAAATACATAAAATTTGCTAATGTGGCTGAATTTCATAAATAACAAGTCATAATCCTATTCATTATCATTTCATTGAATACCATTTTAAAAAAATTCCCTTTTCAAACTAGTAGTTTTTGGAATCAAGACAAAAAAAAACAATTGTTCAAATACATGTAGATCCACCATCCGCGACAATTTTCAGTCGAATACACTGCTGTGAATACTATGAGTGTTCACACTACTGAATGTGGTTACTGCAAATGGCACAATCATGCATTCAGAGTGAGGTCAATTTTTGTCTAAACACTGGCTGTTTCTATCTCATTTTGTAGGTTAATATCTAGGATTTTAAACATTGGTATACCATTCACAAACCATGGTAGATTATTATCAGGTGCTTGGGGTCCCAAAGGCAGCTTCAAATGAGGACATCAAAAAAGCGTAAGTAAACCTATTTCCTTAATGTACTGTATGCCTGTATGTGTGCTTGATATCTCTGTACAGTGTACCAGCGTAATGCCGGTTGAAATACGAGTCGTTTTGATTACATCGTCAATTCTAAGTGAACTGTGTATTGCACCAATTAACTGTAGTGCATAAGAAATTTCTCTGGTGTGCAAATGGTCTTTTTTAATATCTATTACCCGAATGGCTGAACTTGAAAGCATTGTCTGCCTTTCAAAATGAGATATTTAATTCAGTCTAGCAGATGCTGAATAGATCACAAAACATAGCTTCACTCCCAGTCTCGTAGGTATTTGTTGTGATTGTGATGAATATGAATAAAGGGCTCAATGTTTATTGTTGTGAATACCAACAGAGTTCAATCTTTTTTCATAACTGGTATTTTTAATAGCTGCGACCTCGCTTTTGTTATCCACAAGAATCATTACATGTAGATTTAGGAAATTGACTGGAATGTACTTATAATTGTACAGAATTATTTTCAGTTACTCAGTCATTAAATTGTACGTAAAATTTCTTGTAAGATGATGTTATTGCCTTACTTTGTGAATTATAATAAATTGTACTTTTTTAATGCGTTATTTTATTTAACATTTCAATAAAAACGTATCATTTGTTCATAAAGGCTAATTAAACTGGATCAGTTATTCCTGCATGCCCAAACCAGGCACTCAACTCATACATGTATTTTAAATATTGACTTTTTGAAAGTTTATAAATATTTATGATTTGTAATATTGCTAGATGAGAACCACTTTAAATGTTTTATTAACATAACAAATTATTGAAAAACTATGAATTTCAAATTCTATATAGCAGGTATATATGAAAAAAAAAAATTCTGAGTGCCATTATTTCATTTCTGAAGTGTCTTCCCTAAGCCTGTAACCTTCATCAGTCCACCACAGGTGTTACGTATAACTGATGGACATGTACATTATATAATGATTATTCCCAATTTACTTAGCAGCTCCCCATTCACTGTAGCATGTCATTTTTTCCTCAAACTAATCCTTTCATATCATTAATTGAATTTCCATAAATTTTATTTCTTTCATCGACTCGATGCTACATGTACATGATGAAGCTAGTCTCATGAGGGATTCTTGTCTAAGTTTGTACTAATAAATTTGAAAAATGATGTCAATTGATTTGTGATATGAAAAAATTAATAAGAGAATAATTTGTGTTTTCAGACTTAGCGTGTAGAATATTTTGTTAGCCTATCATGTAGGATGTCACGGACAATATTTAATGTATACCGTTATCGATACTTACAATTTATTGCATGATAATCCTTTCAATATCATGTTGTATTTACGAGTGTTCATGGTATTTTGATGAGTTGCCCAAGTGAGAAGTCAAAATTCCAAGATCATGAATAAAAAAACAATGTGATATCGTGGGGTTATCATGTAATAACGTACATAGTTTCCTGATCTATATGTGCTATGGACAAATATGGAAGATTACATAGCAGATTTCTTCATTTCCTTTGGGACTTTTAACTACGCTCAGACACTCACACTCTTGGTCGAAAACTTGTGGAAAACTTCATAGTTGATGGAGGGACCTAGATATTCCCTGCCACTAAAACTTCATTAATCGCATCCTCTATTAATTTGCATACTCAGTTTATTTGAATAGATAATAATTGAATGTATCGTTTTAATTCGCTATGTTCTAAAACAGACTTGAAATTGTATCCCCTGTTTTGTGCTCTAACTTTTTATGCCTAAAACAATGTACAGCACAGTTTTCTGCTCGCAATCCTCTTGTCTAATCTTCTTCAGTGATTACAGCCCAAGATCATCACAAAACATCTACATGTACCACCAGTATCAATTCCACCAAAATCTTTTACTCAGGACGTAAACATAACTGCAGACATGTGCAAGATAAATAATGCTTCAAGATATATAGAGCATATAGATTTGCTCAGTAAGCACAGTCGGGAAAACATCAGTGGACTTTGGTGAACATGCTGGAATGTTTTGTAATTGAAAGGTCACTTTCAAGTTCATCGGAACCATGTATATGTATGGTATGGCTGCCATGAATGGCCTGATCCAAGTGCATATTCATGTATTTGATTTGTTTAAGCTCTCAGTTGAATATTTTCTAATTATTGGTTGCATTTTAATTATTTTATTAATGTACTTCATTTGGGGAGTTAATGGGAGTACCTCGTTTTTTGAATATTCATCTTGGGCATACTTAGCTGGAATGTTATTTTTTTTTGAAGATTTTTGTACTGTCGGATAAGCTCCATCAGTGTCTGTGATCACTGTGGTGTGTGTGTATGTGGGTGTGAAGTTCTCACTGAACCAAATTCAAATTTGTTGATTACTGGTACTACTACTACTACTACTAACTGTTAGAAAACTGTTTAATTGGTCTCAAACAAAATATCTTGCATGTCTGCATGTCAATATGCCGTTTGGATATACCAGTGTGAATAGTGGAATGTTTGGTGAAAATGGATACAATGTTATAACATTACGTTTTAAATGTTATCAGCAGTTTGTGCTGTTTTATTTTCAATCTCTGCAAACTGTTGTTTTTTGTCTGATTACTAGATCTCA